AGCGTCCAGACCGGCCAACAGAAACCACGACAAACCCTGCATGGCGTCACAGCAAAGGAGACATTATGAACTTCCTAGCTCCCACGGCACCTACTTGGACTTCAAGCACTGTCAAAGCCAAAGCTCGAGTTAGGTGTACTCAAGTTCACCAAATTTGAGCCCTGCTGCCGAGTCACAACCTCCCGAAAAGGAAAAATGGCATTGCTGCCGTCGTGTCAGCCAGGGCAGCGAACACAGAACCCGCAAAAACCTCAGCGAATCTGCCGCACAGCTGTTTAGACACTCACGTCTTTGACGTCCCATGGTGCACCAAGTTATCTTGCAAGAGACCGGGCTTGCATGATTAGCCTAGGTTGGCTCCAAAAATGTGTTACTCCTGCAAACAATTTGCAATCGCTCCCAAAGCCAAGCTATTACACACGCAAACCATTCCAATCAACAAGAGTTTCTTGTATGAAATGTGTACCGCAAGCTTCTTTGACGCCGCTTGAGGTTTTGTAGCAATGCGCCCCATAGGCTGATTCAACCGTGTCGTAGTCGCAAACATGTCACTAACATTGCAAGCATGCTCGGCTCAGCCGCGGTTGGTAGCCAGGTCACGTTTCCAAACATCGCTGGCGCATTCTCTTGCAGAGCTGAAGCTGGAGGCTCCGAATCAAGGAAGGGCACTTTGTCCAAGAAAAAGCTCAGCAAACACCTTGCGGCTTGCCGGGAACGTCGCTCCACGTCAAGGACCAAAAGAAAACAAAAGACAGTACCAAGCATGGAAAGGACCTTGCAGCTTGTAGTGTCAGGTGATGTGGTTGCTTTTTGTGTTTAACCGTTTGACCTTTTGGTTTTAACCAGTTTTCGCTCAACTTAGAGGAAGCCCCAAGCCAACAAAAGAATGTCCAGTTCTTGCCACAGCGCGATGCCTTGCTGGTGTCTATTGTCCTTGGCTGACACACATGCACATACATGCCCATACACCACCCAGCGCTGCCAACCCTCCCGCCAACAATCATAGAAGTTAAGGATCGGGTTTTGGAAGGTAAGAATTTTAGTTTGCTTTGGGGAAGCCGCGAAATATCCACTTCCAAAATCGCTGGAAAATTGGCAATCTCTTAGACAAGGCGCTGGAAGCTGAAATCAGTCGATTGCCACCAGTCCTGCACAAGGCTCTTGAAGGGGGAGGCCAACTCTTAGATCTCAGGTGGACCACTCTATGGTCTCCTGACAATCAGGGATCTGCTTGGAGCGCATTAAAGGGAAACCAGAAGGAGGCTGTTCAAACAATATGCATGAACAAATCCTGCACCAGTTGGGATGTATGAGACCCTAGGAAGACTGGATAACCCACCTACCAACTGGCGCGCAGTAGAATTTGTTCATCCAACTGTAGTGATTTGAACACGCGTCACAGATGTCCCATATTTCCGTTAAAACATCCTCGAATGGGCTAAGCCTAGGTGGATCTTCAACTCACAAAGTAAGTCATCTTGGAACTATGGTCATAAACCCTGTTAGCTCCTCAAGGAGGCAGACCACTTTGCAAGTGTTTTTTGGGTATCCCTGGTCATAGCCCACTTGGAGCACCTACCAGGGTAAATTTGCAAAAGATATAAGCTCAGATTTGCACACTGGGAGACCAGAGGAAGGAGGTTTGCCTCATTGAAGAAAAACGCCTTGAACGTGACCCATGCCCTTTTTCAATGGCCCTTCCACACAAAATTCAATTCACATATCTTCCCACACAAACCATGCCTTGATTCAAAGGCTCTTCCACAGATAACTCACATATCTTCCCACACAAACCATGCCTTGTTTCATTCAAAGACTCTTCCACAGAAAATTCACACATCCTCTCACCCAACACATGTCTTTTCACATGTCTTCTTTCAATGAAACAAAGGCAGCATATGTGAAAGAGTTGCCAAGGAAAGTGAACCCTGTGCAGAATAAAGCCAGGCTATGGCTGGGACAGTTTGTGTTACATCAGACCAAACAGTGATTTCATGGTTATTTTCTGTTGGCTGTGCTTGCCAGCTCTCGGCAACCCTTGAAAGGAGGGCATTCTGCTTGGCCCCAGGTTTTGCATACAATGACACAGGATTGAGCAGGCAGAAGTGTTCCTAGGGCTCGCTGCTTCAATGTGGACTGCTTTTGAGGTTTGGCAGTTTTGGCCGAAACCCTTTCGCCGAGCCTTTGACGCATTCTGAGCGGCGCTGCCAAAGCGGGAAGCCGATTGGTGCAACGAACCGAGGTCAAGATGATCAAGGCTCTGATCTTCGTAGTCTTTTCAGCGCAGTGGCTTGTCCCAAGTCTAAGATGGTTTCCCCTACCACCCAACTAAAGCTACCGCGACCCTGGGGTTGAATGGGATACGCAGCCAACATGTAGCCACTATGTGGAACAAAATTATGCGGAGAAAGGTGTAACAGCCTCACAGTTTTATGCCGGCACCAAGGCACAAGCCACTGCAGAGAAGGACAGGGTACTGCGGAATTGAGATGGATGTGCCAGATACATTGGAGGGTGCATGAAATCGGGGCGATTTCTTCATGCGACCCCTCAATCTAGCTGCATCTTGACAACAAGAGCAAGAAGGCAGGGATTGATTTCGACATCAGGGTCACTTAGTGGAGTTCTCCGACCTATCTCCTCAATTTGGGTTCCCAATAAATTGTGGCATGAGCCAACTCCAAAATCGACGCTCATCTTGCAGGAGGGCACTCGCTTGGCACTGCTCCGCCTCTTGCTCTTTTCCGGCCCCATGGATGGCGCCTTTTGCATGGCGCCTCGGTAGTACATGGCCACTTGCCGTACGGAGGGAATGCGATTCCTCGAAAGCGATGAAGCCCTGAGGATCAAGAATTCAACCGAAGGGTGTTGCTGAAAGGCGGATTTTCTGCAACAATGTTGAGTTTGCTCAGAGAGAGAAAGAGAGAGAGGGAGAGAAAGGGAGAGAGAGATGATAGCTGCTTGCAGGCACCCAGCATGTGCGGTGCGGGGAATGGTTTGACCACAGCCGATTTTAGGATCAATCCCGGAAAAATAAAGGTTATCTTTTCAGGTGTTTTCTTAGCTGAAGATCCTCCTCTAATTATAGCGGGACACCCCCGTACTGTGGATGGACGAACTCCTGCGCCGCTTTGAAACCATGGGCACCATGGTTTGTTGGTATTTAACAGGGGAATCAATCATCATTCCAGGGGGTGCGAAATGGATTTCGTCCATCCACAGTGGTAATGATCCAGCGGTTAGTGGGGTCTTCCTGCGGCATCGCTTTGGGACTCCCTGGCATCACTTTGGGTGGAGATCTTTGAGGTGCTGGGCCTGTTGGGAGTGAGCCCGCAGCACTTCATGCTTGGCGCGGCTCTCAGATCCGATTGAAGACCTGGAGCCACTGTTTGGCAAGTTTGGTGGATCTTTTTGGAGTCCAAGCCATGAGGTTCATGAAGGCTTGTTATGCAGAGTCTTTTTCCGAGGGGTGCAACGTTTGCGCCTTTTTTTTCTTCCCCGCCTAGACGCGCACTGACCACTTTTCTTGCGGCCGGAGAGGGGTTCTCGAAGGGCAGCGCTGATCTTTGAACTGTGATGGTTGCCGCATGCAGGTCACACGTTGGCCTCGTGGAGGTTCTCGCTGGAATATGCGCAGCCCACAGATGCCAGTTTTGATCTCACAGCTGTGCTCAAGCATGGCCTGCGTCTTGAGGCCTGTTTCGGAGCCATGCTGACGAATGGTTGGGGTGAGCAGGCTCGCATTCACACCTCGTCATTCTCTTGCCCGTGCAGGCTGTTCCCCAGGTTGGGACTCTTTGGTGCTCCTACAAAGGGTCAGGTTGTGGGCTACAACCACCCACTCCCCCCCCCCCCCCCCCGTTATTGTGGCTTTGCGCTAGGCCGAGTTGCTGGTCATCTTGCGGCTGGTTCTTGCGCTCATCTCGGCGCCGCGGCTTGCGGGTACTTTTGAGGAATTGAAGAGACGTGAACGGCTGCATTCCTCGGCCGGGGGACTCGCCACCAGTCAAATGTAGGTCCCTTAGTTTTCCACGAGTGGCGATTCACACTGGAGCTGAAAAAGCAGGGGTTTTGGGTCCGCATGGTTGTCGCTGCTTAGGGGATCCTGGTTACAAGCTTCGCAGCCCCGGTCAGCGAGCAGCCGCCAGCTCAGATTGCGGCAGTTCCATCCAGATCCGTGGACATTGTCCGATTGGCGACTTGGAACAGAACAACAAAGCAGCAAGAACAAAACAGAACACAAAAGCAGAACACATGTGCCACCACGAACCCTGCTCACATCTGCTTGTTTGCTGTGCTTTAGTGCTATACATATATATATATACATAAACATATATATATATATATGCTCGCCCCCCCCCAAAAAAAAAAACATGTAGAAAAGGCTGATTTCAGGGGGTGGGGGGTAGATGGTTGCCTGTTCTGTTTTTTTATTTCACAATTCAACACGTGTTCTATCTTGTTCGTTTTTTCAAGGCATATTTTGGGGGCAAGAAATAACGATATGAATGCGGTAACGAATTGATGATTTGGTCCCCTGTTTCGTTCCCGATTTCAACTTTTAGTTTTATTGATTGAAAGAGGTTAGACTTTAAGTTGTTTAAAGGTCTGGGTCTTGAGGCCAAACGATTTTGCAACAAGCTTCAGCACAATTCAGGCATTGCTTGGCTCATTTGGCTTGTTCTTTGTTCATTTTTGCGCTGCATGTGTTGCTTCCGTTGCGGTGGCTTCATTCTCAGGGCACCATTGTAGGCTTGGTCAATCACATCAGTTCTCGCACCGGCTATGCCCCTTCAGATTCAGAGTTTGACCCTTGGCTCGGACGTTCCGCCAAACCATGTGAAGCTTCATGGATCAAGTCATGAATCATGTCTTTGGCTGCATTAGTTTCACCACTTCTTTACCAAGAGCTTTCCAGAACTCGATGCGCAGATGCTCTTAGCTGTTGGACATTGCCAAGCATCCCACTTACAGTCACAACCTTTGTCTCAAGTCTTGCCATGCTACCGTGGCCGAAAGTGCGCCCGCGCGGTGGTGGCAAATGGTCAGACGCCAGCAGCATTCCAGGACGGATTTCCGCAAATGACTATGAGAAGTTTGTGCGGGAGAGGCTTTCGGGAAGCCAGCTTCAGCAATCCGAAGCGACCATCACAGCCCACCTCAGTCAAGATGCATGTGAGGCGCTCAACAAGTTGAAGCGCCAATCTGAGAGGGCATCAGCAGAAAGCTTGGGCGGGTTGTGGACAAAACTGTATTCGAGCACAACAGCCAACGACACACCAGCAGAGGCAACTGCTGTCACGGACGTCGTAGTGAATGCAGAGCGAGACCTTTTACAGTCACTGGGTGAGAATTCGCAATTGCTATTCGGCAATCGGGTTGTTCCAGAAGGCACAGTTGTGGAATGTACGGTGGTTGCAGCCTTGTTCTTCATGAAGTGTCACCAGCTGGAACGGTTTCTAACGCTGGCGGCTGAGGCTGAGCGCTCCGTACCTGCCGTAGCAATGGTGGTGAATAAGCTGCCCATTGAGTGCGCAGAAGAGTGGGTCAATGCGATTCAGCATTATCCATTTCTCAAGAGGAAGTATGCGCAGGGTTTCTTTAGCTTAGTCTACGTTCCTCACACCTTGAACATTCGTCAGGTTCAACAACAAGTTCAGCAGGTTAGACAAGAAGTTCAACAAGAAGTTCAACGAGGGTTTCGCCTCCGTGACTTTGCCATTTTCCTCCTCATCATCTACAACATCCTGCTGCAAATCCAGCGTTGGAGTTCCCCATTGAGTAGTGGCGAATTGTGAGACCCTAGTGCAGAAATGGCGCAATCTGGTTTTGGAGAGGTTGACGCCCGCAGTGGGCGCAACTCTTTGCTATGACGCCGGTGCAGTCTTCATAAGGAGCTGAGATGTGGATAAACAAATGCGTAGCGAGAAAACATGTGGCCATCTTTGCGTCCTGATACTCCTCTGACTGCCCCAACAAGGACCAAGACCCAAACTGAGTATCAGTCATATCCGCGTAGGACTCAAGTGTCAAGGGAGCAAACAGCAGATCGGCGGACGAGTTTGCAATGGATTACGATCGCCAAATTGTTCCCCAAATTTGGAATGGGGTGTCTACAATCAGGGGAACATCAGAGCACCATTCCCCACGGCATGACCCCCCGTTCCTCAAGGCAGGGGAACAGGGGAACATGTTCCCCAAGGCAGGGGAACAGGGGAACATTGTTCCCCAAGGCAGGGGAACAGGGGAACATTGTTCCCCAAGGCAGGGGAACAGGGAGCCCCAAAGTAGGGGAACAGGGAGCCCCAAAGTAGGGGAACAGGGAACCCCAAAGTAGGGGAACAGGGAGCCCCAAAGTAGGAGAACAGCGAACCCCAAAGTAGGGGAACAGGGAGCCCCAAAGTAGGGGAACAGGGAGCCCCAAAGTAGGGGAACAGCGAACCCCAAAGTAGGGGAACATCGAACCCCAAAGTAGGGGAACAGCGAACCCCAAAGTAGGGGAACAGCGAACCCCAAGGCAGGGGACAGGGGAACAGAACCTTCCAAACCCACCCCATTTTTAGTAGTTCCCGCATCTGCTTTTCGCTGAGGTTGTGAAGTCATGCCCTTCATCGTCTTCAACGCTGACGGGTTCTAGGTTTTGGGCTGTGGGTGGGCTGGGAGGGTTTTGTGGTTTTGGGGCTTTTGTGTGTTACTGTTACAGGGAGGGTTCAAACAAGACACTTTGAAGGCTCAAGTGGAGAAGGGTTGAGTTTTTAGGGTTGTGGGTCAGGGGTTGAAAACAAAGATTTCAGGAGTAGTGTGAGCCACTGCTTAAACTAAACTTTGTGGGAGTGTCATTACCAATCCACCCCTTAAGAACTTGCAATGCAAATTCCCTCGCCCCTCACAACAACCCTAGCAACCCAACGACCCCAACCCAACCCACGCCCAAAAACCACAGCAACTCACAAAACCCCAACCCTGAACCCCACTGCGTGCGCCTTGTATGTCAGAAGACACCACCCTCCTCTTCTTCAAGGTCTTTTGGGTCGGGTGGGTCAGGTGGTTTCTCTTACAAACCTAAACCGTTGTGTAAGGTTAAACTCTCACCATTTTTTTGTTTCAATGTTTAAGCCCAAACCCATTTTGAAGGCTCCCTTCTCACCAACCCCGTAAATCTCAACAAACACATTCCCATCAAAACAAGGGCAAAACCCACCATTTTTCAACTCCCTCAAAACCAACCAACATATAAACTTCAATGTTTTCAGTTTCAATCTCATCCCCAAACCCACATTTCAAGTTTGAGCCCCAACCCCAACCCAAACAACCCACCCAACCAAAACAACCATACCAACCGAACCTGTCCCTGAAAATAATTCTATTAATTTCATATTATTAGAACTATTTAGATATGAATATGTTTATTTACATATCGCCGGTGTTTGTCGCTTCGCTCGTGCCTTCTTATATCACATTTCCTGAAAACACCGCCACATTCAATAATTTATTTTCTTTTTTCTAGTATTGTTTCTTTGTTTTGGTGGTAATGCTCCCTACTTTTGTCACATATATGTTCTTTGTTCTTTTCAGAGTATTCCTTCCTCATATGTTGGTAATGTTCTTTATTATCCTCTTTCCACTCATTAAAAGTTCTTCCAGCAACACATCTATTAAACCAGTCAGTATTTTTAATGTAATAACCTTCTCTTTTAAGTAATTCTTCTCGACTTTCACACGGGGTAGTTTTCTATTAATTCAGTCTTACAGTTTTCCACTCCATACTCATCAAACAATAAGCCACAAGTTGTTTTAGTGTTCCATTCCTCTGCTTTCTTATGATTTTGCCTATGTCTTGCAATTCTTTGACTTAAGTTTTCACAGGTGCTTCCAATGTAGCATTTGTTATAACCAATATCTGTTACTTGGTAAATCTTCGCCGCATTTCTATATTTACTGCTCTCCATAAATAACATAATGTATCTTCTCTTTAACACAGTTTGTGATGACCATATAGTAATGAAGTAAAAGTATCATAATAATATATTAAATTCTCATAATTACTGAGTGATTGTTTTACTTGAGACATTGAATATATTTGATGAGATTTACTCCTAATAAAATTATATGTTATTTCGTGTTTTTTGTTGTGATGCAGTGCTTCGTGGTAGTTCTGATAGGTCAGTTCCTTCTTCACCTTGTGCTTGACGACGCCTTTGGATTTCCTGTGTTCCTCATTCTCGCCGTGGATTGTGAAAGCATAGGATTTAGGTTTCAACCCGATAAATCTAGTAATGATTTTTCCGTTGACTTCATCTTTGTACATTCCTAAGACCTTCTTATTTGTTGTGTCATGGCACGGATGTTCAACAGGATAATCGCTAAAATCCATATGTTGCTTGATACCTTGAAAATCCTTGTAGACATCATCAGTGAAGGTTTGGATTACATAGCTGTCAGTATCTGTATATATCAATTTGATGTTTTCGTTGTATTTCTTTTTCAACACACCATAGTAAAACTCATACATATGTAATTTACTCAAATCCAACATTGTCATTCCTAAGAATATGGGTTTATCAAGTTTCAAAACCGACTTTGTTTTTTCCACTCCTACCATATTTTAATTAATGATATTTTTTTTGAATGTAGGATTATTCACACACTTTTCATATCTAACATCATTATCTACCAATTCGAAATCCATATGCTTTCTCTTGTCTTCCATAGTTTTTCCATACACCGCGTTATTCATTAATTTAAACAAATCCTTCTCAAAGTCGCTCTTCGCTTCTTTCCTCTTACCAGTGTTGAAGTCAATCCACGGTTTCAACCAAGCCCTCTGTTGAAATTTTATTATCCTATGAACCTTGGTGAGTTTCATACCCATTTTTAGATAATACTGTAAAGTCTTGATATGAACAACATATTTTTCTTTATCTTTCAAATTTAATATTAACTTGCTGGTTTTCTCGTCCTTCGGTTCTTTGTTTCCATAGTAGATTTTGTAGATTTCCTTTTGATAGTCTGACAACATATTAGCATTGACATTCATTATTTCCGGTGCTAGTGGATAGTCCGAATGGTAGTCATGTAGTGTTTCTGGATATTCCAAATCCACTTCAAGGATGAAACCATACTCATCTTTTTCATCCCACTTTTCAATGTTAGGTGTTTTCTTTGTCCATTTGATGTTCTTTAAAGGCAATTTTTGAGACATCGCCAGACCATACAGATTGTTAGCATCTAAGTAATTGATATAACTTGACGGTTTACTTTCATCAAAGGCTTCATCCATATACTTATTGTTAGCCACAGCCAGTTTATGACTGACCTGACACATACCTCCTCTCATTCCCTGTTCAACCATCTCATACATTTCTTTATCGTGTAACTGTTCAATTTCAACACCTGTTTTCAACAACATAGCTTCCCAAGCGAAGTTAGGAAGTGTATAATAGTGTGCGGGGTCCAAACCGTAGTATTCCATACATAAGTCTCTAAAGTTTTCAAAAACATCAGTCAATAATAAAACATCGGTTCTCAAATACAAATCGTGATATTGTCCTAATGTTCTGATACCGAAGTGTTTCCAAACCTTTTGTGCCCTTTCATAATCTTTGTCGTTGACATGTTCCTCACTTAATTTACTGTAGAACGCTTCTTTTGGCGGTAAGTTTCTTTCAGTAAATCTGTCAAAACTATCAAACTAGTCATAAGGATAAATCCCCTTGTCAGTCAACAAGTCCAAATCTTCATCGGTTTTAACATATGGATTTCTAACACTGTATCTAAAATTGTTCTTCCAGTTCTCACGCCTTTTATCATCTTCATACTTACTCAACTTTACCAACTTATCCAACGAAGACGATAAGAAGCTAAAACTGTCCTTGAAACAAAGGTTTTTAAAACCAAAGGTTATGAACTTCTCGCTGTTCTGTGCGATGCAATCGATTTTAGCATTCTTGCTCAGTTCGTGTGCCTTGTTGATGATTAAGTGAGCGTCATAGTTTTTAAGGTTATGAAGGAAGACTGGTATTTTATAATATCTCATACTAAAAGCAAGATTACAATCATCATGAGCACAACCTCTATATTTACCAGTAAAATGGCAATGGTCACGAACCTTCTTATCTCCTTCCTGAAAGCCCTTTCCACAAACGAAGCACTTAGTGGCAGTGTCAAAATCTGTTTTATCGTCCTCAGTCATGATTTTCTCTTTCACTTCCTTCATTTTCTTTATGACATCCTGTCTGACTTCATTCATTTTCTCAACGAACTTATCCATACAATCTTCGCCTCTGTATAAATAGGGCTCACTGCTTCCAGTGATGGCATTGACTACATTAATCATAAAACCACAAGGGCGATGATTTTGATACGATGTTGTTGTCGCTTTTGTCGATTTGCTTTTAACATCAATGGGCACTGTTAAACATTCAAAGTCGGCATATATTACATAAGGTGCTTTCAGTTTCTTAAAATGGTTCTTAAATTCAATGGTAGCTCCTACCTCTGGCATTTCTATTTGTTGTCCTTCAACCGCTAGACAACCCTGTTGTTCGTGTTGTTTTAATAACTATTCTGACTTGAAACCGTGTGAGCACGTCCTACAATGATGTTTTTTCCTATTTGTTTGTTGGTTTGGCTTCCCATCAACTTGTTATAGTTCTTGATGTAGACATAGTGCGAGTTGGCATTGTCTCCAGTCAGCTTTATTAAATCAATCTTTTGTTGTGCTTGGGGGTTGTTGCTTCTTTTGTATAATAAAATTGTTTTACTATTGGCATCAGGATTGATGTAATAAACATTGACC